AAAAAAAAAAAAGAAGCAACAAGAAAGGTGTTATAGCATAATTAACCATAATCAGTGAGTTTAAAAAAAAAAACCATAATCAGTGAGTAAATAACACTAGACAGAGTTTGTGCAGCCAAAGTTAGATGGCTAAAATGCAGCTACCTTAGAGAACAATTTCATCCAGGCTTTAGCTGACAATCGCTTCACAAAGCCAACTTTGGAAACTGGGACTTTTCCATGAAAACATTGGATAGATGTATTATTCAAAACACTGCAGACATCAAAAGTAAACCATCAGCTCTAAAAGTGCAAAGGTGACAAAATAGTAGAACTTGTGACAATTGCCACAGACCGTTGCAAATATTCCAAAATGAGAACTAAATTCAGAAAGTCAACACTAGAAATTGACACAAGGTCGCTATTAAGCACACATCCACAATTTAATGTAGGCTAGTAGCCGGTAAAAACCATCTACTCATTGCTCAACAACTTCTACCTACAAGAAACATGTTTGACTGCCTAACATGCACATGCTAACAAAAAACAAAGATTCAAAAGAAATTACAAATGTGGCACTATACTTACGGAGGAGTAATGTTATCAGCCCATTGGCGAAGCCAGTCTGTAGAAATCCAATAAAATGGTTCTTCAACTGAATGAACAGGAGCTTCAGATAGCACTGATCTCACTTCCTGTCTCCTCGCTGTTATGTGCTCTAGTTCTCTTTCCTTCTTCAATTTGTATTGTTCACATGCATCATCATATGATGAATTCAAGTCTTTTATCTCCTGAAAAAGATGAGATGGAAGAGATATACCATCATGCAAGAAAACTGCATCCCCTTCTAGTTCCATGCTGTTGGCACTCTGCATCGTACATCCCCTCACATCATTCTTCTTATTACACCTAAGATTGTACATTATCATGTAGGCATCAGTAGATGAAAATATCTCTACATGACTCCCAATACTTGATTCTGCATGTTGCTGCTGAATTTGATCCAAATGATTTCCATTGGCAGTGCCATCCACTCCTATGCAAGATGAATAAACGACTGGCTCGGCTCGAATAGATTTAGTGTTGGAAGTTGAAGAGCCTTCTCCAAATGGATGATGACCCAAGTTTGAGACATGCTCATCATCAAACTCCCACCACAGCCCTGTATTCTCATCCTTAATGTGAGCTATGTAATGGCCACTGTTTGCAGCAGTTCCTTTGTGAATAAGTACTGCTGATAAGTCATATATTAATTCCACTTGAGAAGGTTCAGACAGCCTCCCCCGCATATCTAGCTCTCCAGGAAAAGAGAACAAAGAGGAAATTTTCTTCTTTGTCGTAGTCTACTGACACATTGAAATACACAAACATTAAAAGTGATGACTGTTTGATGAAGCATGCTACTGACAAGGGCTTCTACCACAATCAATATAAATGGAATTGCTTTGCACATTTGAGTCAAAAGGTTATTATCAAAAGGGAAAAGGATCTACTAATCTATTAGTTGTACAATGTTCAAGCAAATAGCAAAATGGTACCAAATCCATCATCAATTACCTTTTGAAGGAAATCATAGCGCTTAAGCTGAAAATTAAGCACATCAGGCAGTATACGTAGCTTGATGCTGCGAGAAGCATCAACTCTTGTGCTACATGACTCACAAAAATATTGGTTATCACCATGCAGCTCTTCCACACTCAAGTAATCATTTAAACTCTCGTCTAGAGTTTTCAGGCCCTTGACATTCAACTCAACCTCATAAAAGTCTTCCATCTTTGAAGAAGCTTCAGAATCTTTTCCACATTTGGAGCACCTATGAGTACAGGATAATACATAAATCTCACATAAATTACACTCTTGTACCTCAAATTTTGTTACATTTATAAGATAAATCACAAGATTACATATCAAATGCCACAGGGAAGTCCATTTATATAGACTCAGAGGCATAAACAAATGAACGGCTGAATGAGGTAAAATGCATACCTCAACACAAATTGCTAACATCAAAACAACTGAAAGAGGCTATCAAATAATCTCATGATTGAAAGTGGATGCAACAAGAAAATTGAAATGTTGACCAAGAGGTAGCTGATATAGTACAGGACATTTGTAACTAGCAGATGACTGCCAAAAGCTGCTGATTCATGCACCTCATATAAGCTAATTCTAACCCAAGCATGACAGACTTCAACTATGCAAGTTCACATTGGATGAATTATGTAAAATAAGGCAACAATAAAAGAGCATCCACAGTAATTTGAATAAACCACTGCCAAATATGAGATACAAGGATTCTCATATATGAGAAGCATAATTGAGTACGATCTAAATATCGCTGGAGGAAATCCACTTAATGGGCAATGTAAGCCAGTAATAACATTGAATGGCAAATCAATATCTCTTAAAAACATCAAACAAACATCAGGTGTATGAAAAGCAACATAAAATTTTCCCCTTGTTCCACTTAATTGGAAAAAGAGTTTTTCAAACTTAAAAGAATGGATTTTCCTTTTACCCCTCTCAGTTGCCTTCCCGTTTAGGATAATTAGTCGTTTGCTCCTCTAGCTCATTTCTGAATTGTCTATCTCCATTTTCCATCATTATTCAATATCTAGTCATAACTTATATAGGTGGGCAGGGAAGATGCAATCATACATGAGGACCTAATAAGCATCCAAAAAACTATTAACTAAGTAAAAGAAGAAAAATGAGCAATAATGCTAGGGAAAAAAATACAGAAAATCATAATTTTCAAACTAGCACTGATGAAATCTAATCTTACGTTGTCACATGTGATACACTTCCTCGGAATAGATCTTGAACAATTGTCCTTGCCTTGGTAACTTTGGAATGGCTTAGACAACGCTCAAGCAAAGAAAAAAGCAAGGTCAGAAATTCATGGCTATCCTGCTGAACTCCATTATCTAACTCAAGTGTTTTTATAAATGGAGCAGAGTCAATGAAGGCCATTTTACTAGCATGCAATTGTGCAAAAAGTCGGGCAAGTTGATCCAAGACAGGATGTTGCTCCAAAATATCAGGTTCAACAGAGAAAACACCTTGTCGAAATGATTTATTCATGTACAGGCACTGTAGAATGCTGTTAGCATAACATGTTGCACCCAGATTCGTGAGACCTGCAGGTGAGTAAGCAGAAGCACGGAGATCTTTAAAAGGATCTGGACCAAGGGCTTGGACAATATCTGATATTTTCTGCCATAAGCCAGTTTTCCGACTTCCATTTGGAGGTGGAATTAACCCGCAAAAACAATTAGGGTTGTCTTTAGTATTCATGCGACATCCTTGACAAACTGGCTTTGTGATCATGTAGAGCTGAAATACATCATCATCAGTTATTTGACCTGTTGCATGAATTTTCCTGCACAAGGCAAAAGAAAAATTATAGGAAAAGAAAATTCCCCCCCACCACCCAACGCTTAAAAAAAAAGATTCCTTAGTCTTAAATAGAAAGCTTGTACCTTAATATTTCAGAAGTGGCATCATCATTCTCCACTTGTCTATGTCTTTTATTTTTACTACGGGTTGTTGGTCGGCTCATTTTATCATTGACCAACCTTGCTGTGCACACAAATAAGAAGAATTGGTCATCTATTCTTGTTTTTTATAGAATAAAGGAAAATTCTCAATTAATAGGCAGCTTGAGTACAAACATCAACTTCATAAGTTAAAGAAAAAGGCAATGAAATAGATAATAGAGCTTCAGTATAGTCCGCAATCATCCTAAAACGAGCCAAACTTTGGAGAGAGTTGAGGATTAAAATACCACATCCCTACCTTAGCTCACTTAGAAACACAAAGTTGATAGAATTGTGATCCCCAGCAGAACAACTCTTAGTAAAATATGAAACTAACAACCTGATAGTATCATGGAGATAAATGATAGAAAAGAGCAAAGAAGTTTGCATTTCAACTTTTATAGAAAAAGATAATGCAATGCAACTAATAGAACCTGAGATCTTCTTTGGCATACACACTTATCTTCCAATTTCGAAGTAAGTTTGTCTGTTTGTCATAAAAACAGATCATCAGCTAAGTTACACTAGTTAATTTCGTTACAATCATCGGGAACCAAAGGCATACCAACTGTTCCATGAATTAGCTTGAATCAGAATCATACGATAACATAACTGAGTACGTTTAATCATAAGACTTATTGGAAATTTCAATTCATGCCCGCTATTCAAAATAAGACCTCTGGACTAATACGAGAATCAAATAAAAAAAAAAGCCACTAGGAGTTGCAGAGACGAAAAGAAAACCCTAGAGATAATTACTACTCCTAATCCTAATAATTGCAAATTCGCATAAACACAATCGTTCTGAGAACATTAAAACGCCAGAGGAGTCGGAGTTAATACCTGAGGGGGGAGAGGCGGGCCAAAAGCTGCGCCGTAAGTGAGGTGACGAGAAGGAGGAGATGAACCTGATTTTTGGTGTTGGGGATTTTGGTGATATTCCCGCAATTTTTGGCTTTGCGATATTCTTATTATACGTTTTAATAATAAATTTATATTTTATAGGTAGTAGTAGTACTGGCACCAGCTTTTTATTTCAACATACTTACCATATAATAATACTTTTTATTCTTATTACAATAATAATAAAGTGAAAAATTTGGAAGGGAGACGGACGAGTGAAGGAGGGAAGAGGGTGGTGAGCGTCAAACGCCAGAGTCCAGTCAGGTCAAGCTCGGATATGGGCTCAGACTTCAGCGCTGGACAGCTATACGTACTTTGTTGTAATTACTTGTTTATGAATATTAATTAGTAGAATAAACTTTGTTAACTTCACCCTTATTTTTGCAAAAAAGTTTAGCCCCACCAGGTGTTTCAACCCCCATGTTCATGCGTTAACCATTATTTTAATATATTCTCGGCGTCCGATAATAGATGATCCAATTTAAAAGGCACATAGTGCGTGATAGGTGATGATATCAGTTTTATAAATTAAACTGATATTTGATGTCATAAGTTTGTTTGCTTAAATTTTGAATGTAATAATTTATTTATATTGAACCTTGTGTCAGACAATAATTTGGCAAATACTCATATACACGATGATAATTCATGTGTCCTATTAATTCTCATCATTGCCTACATTATAACAATTAGTATTATGAAACTTTTAAATTAAAAATCTCCAATTCAAATGATTATACACTCAAAAAAAATTTAATGTGCTTACTTGTTACTATTTATAAACTAAAAATTTCAAAGTTAATATTAAAGAGGATTATCTCATTTTCATTTATGTGTTTAATCACTCATTTATATTAGATTATTATATATAATTAGATTTACAGTATAATTTTTTTATTTTGCAAATGAATTTATATGATTGGCAATTTCTTACCTAATATCTCAAATTTATGCATCCAATTTGTAAAACTTGAAAATTCGATAGTCAAGATATAAAGATAAATGTCCTTTTATATTTTGATTGCACATGCAATACAAACACGATCATCCATGTCCACCGTGCTCATTTATTACCTAGCACATGACAAATAACAAAAAAACAAGCATAACAAAGGCTACATAAACAGATTTTGTTAAAGATAAGATAAAAGCGTGAGAAGATAATATTTGTCGTAGAAAGAAGTCATGATTCCAATACTTTTATAACTCATTGTATAAAGAAATCAAGTTTGGACTGTTTAATATGGAATCAAAAGCAAAATCATAAATATAACCAATTTAGTCCTCTAATATTTTACAATACTTACTGTAATATTCCTTTTCATTTTAGATAATAATCATGATTCCAATACTTTTATGAAATGTTTAAATTAGTGTAATCATTAACAATTATAACACTAATGTGTGAAAATTTCCATTAGTTTGGAATTTTGTTTATTTGAGAAGAAAAGTTTAAATTTAATTTTTAATATATTATTGAATCAAATATTTATGTGGAAAATCAAATTGTTATTGTTAGTAATAAAAATTCTGCTATCGTATACTTTTATGTTTATATATATGTATGTATAAATAAATATTAATAGGTATACATATTTCCTCTATTTTGTTAGTAGATAAATTAGACATATCATGATTTAGAATGGTGTCAGTTAATGTGTTGATTAATTTAATTCTTCTTTAAATAAAAAAAAAACAGAAAGAGAGAGTGAAGAGTAATAATATAATAATAATAATTTTAAAAAATATGGTTGATTGCTGGGAGAAAGAGTTTAGGTATCGTGAAGTTAAAAGGGCCGAGGCTCTGGAATCCGCGTTTACCCCACGGAGTTGATTTGCAGTTTTCAACAAAAAATCATCATTGTTTTTCTTGTCATCTGTCAAAGAAGAAGTAAGGGAGGAGGAGGAGGATCAGATCTACAACTTCGATTTCAATAATTAATACTAGTGATATAT